TGACTTCGCCCATGCTTAACACACACACACACACACACACACACACACACACACACACACACAGGGGAGAAGGGGCCAGAGTTTTTTTTAAACTCGGCTCCCAATTAATTTTGAAAAAGTTAAGGTTTTTTTATTTTCATTGAACAAAAAATAGTGCCCCACCCCACCTCCATTAACATTTGCGCTGATAAATGGAAGCAAGACCTGAAGGTATACCATAGTATATATAAGTTGTAAGCCTTGCGAAACTGTGAACAAACTCAGGGACCGTGTCAGCAGTATTAACTCTTTCAAGTCTTTCTGTTCCATGCAGTGGCGGTGGGTAGTGAAGGGCTCACGGGCTTGAACGCCCCTCCCCACCCCCCAACTCTATCCCAAAGCAAATGAAAATAACGAAATAAGCAGTTAAAGCCGTTATGATCGCACACGATGAACACAGAGTGATCAACTTGGCGGCTTGCTCGTTTATCCAATCACTGTTGCCACCGCTCACAACTGTAGTAACCTAACAGCCAATCAAATGTCTTTATGGCTAAGCAAAGATGAGCCGGTTCCCACGGACCCTCGTTAATGAAACTCTTCTTGTAAAAAGGTAGAAGTCTTGAAAACAATAACACTGCACAGAGGGCTCACGCTGTCCTAGCCCTGACCATGGGGTGAAAGTTTACGACACACTCTCCCCCAGTGACACAGTTACCTACGCTCCCATTGGACCTTTGTTAGGTGCTGTCTACTTTTCTCGACTACACGGCCTAATCCAGCTCGTGGAGTGCTGTGTATACATGTTTGTGTGTGTGCCGCTGAGATTCAACAGTTAGTAATTACATCAAACCTCTTTTGAGGCAACTTATCCATCAGATGAAAATTAATTAGAGAAGTTTGGGGGTGAAGCGGTTTCGTCCCCAGCACCCAGAAGAATTTACCGTAGAACAAAGAGAAGGTAGACAAAGGTGACTCTTCTTGTTTGAAGGGTTCTCAAAATGCCGTGGCTCGCGGTGAGAATGGAAAAATCACCACTGTTTTGTTCTTTTATTGCTTGCTATTTGGTATTAAAGAAGTGAAAGCAACCTAAGCCCCACCCAAATCTTGGTCCACCCACCGCCACTGGTTCCATGCACCGGTATATCACTGCCTTTCTTCACAACATATAACCACTAAGCATGGGCGAAGTCAAGTCGAGATTCGGAATTCGACGAATTCGTGGGGTCTGAGTCGGAGATCGAACATTGGGCAGGAGGACGAGTCCGAACACGAATTCCCGAACTAGGGCAGCCAAGGGGAAAATAGATCACGAGGAGCGAAAACATATTT